TGGTCCAGGGCTAGATGCCTAGCCGACGCACTTCCAAACGTCGTTTAGCTGGTAATAACGCAGGCAAAGAGGGCAGGTTAGACATGACACTAACAACCCACCCTGTAAAAATAAAACCGCTGCTATCGAAACTTCAAAGCTCTAGCTTGAAGCCGTATGTTCCACTAGGAAAGCAAAAAGAATAAAGATGAAAAGAACTAGCTGTCAAATGTTTGGAACAAGAATATTCAAGGAAATGTTTTGAGCACTGTTTATCAAGTTTGGAACCTCCTGCCAACTAAAATTACGTAACATTTACAAGTTTGTTGGAATTCAAGTGTTGGTTTGTAGGGATTTGGTTGATTGGTTACAGGATTTCATCACGAGCTGACATCAGTTAGAGAACCATTGGAAAACCTGGGAGTACTGGACAGCTGTTTCGTCCTAGTTTAGGACTCTTCAGCAGTACGCACCCACCGCGATTCGAACCCAGGACCTTCTGGTTGGAATTGTTCTGTACATAAACTTAATAATTTTGTTAGGCTGAAAGCAGCTGATGAGAAGTTGACGAAATAAATGATGATATCAACTTATTTTGCAAAACACTTTGTTCTTGTTTATTCAGATTCATAAAGGGGAATAAGTGTATAAATGTATTAAAATTCACTTTAGGCGTGAAGGTTCATCATAGGTAGAATGTTCTGAAGTAGGGTGAAATATTTACAGACGTTTTGATAGAAGCGTCTTACAGGCTGGTTCTACTTTTTCACACAGCTTTCAGTAGTATTCTTTTCATCGCATTCAATACAGATCATTCATTTTTCAATATACATTGGGCACCTTATACTTAATGAATTTAAAAATAATTCCAGTGATTACATTTTATACAAACATGAAATACTTCAAATTCATTAAGGCTGCCATTCAAAAAGTATTACTGAACATATTTCAAACGAGATAGTCAGTTACCTGCCAGCATTATGGCTAAACAGTAGTTTTTTAAAAAATATACATTATGGGATGTATCGATCGTCAAATACAATAGTGTATTCGATAAAATAGTCTTTAAAATTCCTTACGGACTAAAACCCTGAATGTCTGTTTGCTGGTGATTAGATGATTTAGGTGTTCTGAAGTTGTGACCTGTGGCATTCACCATGTCTTGTGTTTACCGGACGCTTACCGATGGCACTAGTAAACTATAACACTTTATTGCGATTTGATAAAAGTAACATTTCTCAGGTTTATTGATTACTGCTCCGTGACTAAAATTGTCAACAGGCTTATCTCCTTACCTGGAAGTCATAGGTTCGGTCCTTGGTGTGGTCGTGGATGAACGTTGCCAGTCTAAGACGAACAAGCTGTTCCCAGATTCTTGGATTTCAATAATTTCTGAACTGTAATTGCTGACTAAGTGAACATAGTATAACAAGATATAATGATCAACACTTTCCGAAACTTATACATTTAAGGTTTATTTCATCACAAATAGACGTCAGAGGAGCATTGAAAACCAGGGAGTACTTAAGAGCTGTTTAATTTTAGTTGAAAATGTTTAATAAGTGCGCATCTATGATCTCATCAGGGACCGAGACGAAGACCTTGAGATTCAGAGACTTGTCCTCAGCTGTACAGACAGTGGGTTGAAATCTAATGACTCATGAATTCTAATTTCTCTATTCACTGGAGACAGTCATCACGATAAAATGAAACCAGTGAGTGGTGACAGAGAGTTTCTCTTTGACTCCATTTTGGATAAGATTTTATTTTGATAAGTCACACAGTGTTGTACAGTATTATTAACTGATGACGTTTCGAGCACAAACTATTGCTCATAATCAAATCAAGCTACTCACACAACATTTTTTCCTTCATTTATATACATGTGTGGAATCGATTAGATATTGGAATAAAATTCAATATGAGATAATGTACATTCAGAAATAATAATAATAATACGAGCGTTATTGATCAGTTACAATTAGATGGGAAATAAAACGAGTGTTTCTATAGTCATAATAATTTACTTGTTAGAATGTTGTGATGTGTTTGAATTGAAATAGAATTTTAAGATTATTTATTATCCTCCCCTGATTTGACTGGTGGCAATAATATCTTCCATATTTCTGGTATTTGCATTGAGTCATTTCTGTTGCATGTGTTGGGTGTAGACTCAGTGAACAAGGATTCAGTAATCAACCTATCTCTCCACCTACCTAGATTACTTTTTAGAATTTTAACCCTATCCCACCCTATTGTGTGGTTGTTTGTTAATGCGTGAAGTGCAATTGCTGAGCTCTTTTCTATATTACTTTTCTTCTCGGGGTCAACCATTCTTCCCTCAGCTAAATTCTTATGTTCTGATAATCTGTCTACCCCCAACCCACTAGTCTGACCTAAGTAGTTGACTTCACTCACAGTCATTGCAAGGTATTTTGTAAATTGTATTATTTTGTCGAATTGGGTCCACCGGGTCTTTTAGCCTACAGAGATTGTCCCTACCTGAGTGAGTTTGTAGGTTTGAATGTCAACCGGATGTACCTACATTCTCCAGTGAGTAATGGCGTTCCCACTGAGCCTCAAACCCAGCACACACCATTCCAAACGCGAAAGAGTTGTCCACTAGACCAGTCAGACCATGAGAGCCACTTCTTATGCAGCGGGTTTCATTCCTGAATGGGACGAATGAGCATCATCGATTCCACAGCTAGTCACCATCCACCAAATTTCTCCAAGTTCAGATGATTTTATTTTAAAGTGTTGATGTCAGCTCATGATGAAATCCTGTAACCAATCAAATCCCTACAAACAAACAATTGAAAATCAATGAGATGCTCATTAGCGACTTGCCCTATTCAGGTGGGTAGTCACCTGGGGTTCTAGTGAGAAGTCGTGACCAGTAGGGTGCAGCAGGTCGGGCGTGAGGACAAATACTCGCCGAAGACATTGGCTAGGGGTTGCGCTATGTCGTGAATTGGCAGAAGTTAGAATTCATGGACCATTGGATCGGGTCCCAGTGGCTTAATGGTATACGAGCTCGCCTTGTAACCAGAAGGTCCTGGGTTCAAATCCCGGTGAGTGCGTACTGATGAAGAGTCCCAAACCAGTACTCCCAGGTTTTCCAATGGTTCTCTAACTAATGTCAGCTCATGATTTTATTTTAGTTTCTACTCGATTAACGCTTTTCATTTTAAGTAGTTTTTTATTTAGAGTTCAGTATTGCAGGCTTATCTTTGTAAGTATTAAATTATATCATAACCATTGACCTTAAAGGTTAAATAATGTAGAAGAAACAGAAAAAAAGCTAAAATTCACATATTCTGAATCAATATGTTGAAACAGAGACAGAAAACTATGAACTCTATGCTTACATTGATATTTCTTTGAATAATAAAGAAGCGTGAATAGGCAAAGTATGTTCAAGTGAATGTCTGCGTATACTTCAATGATGCGTATGTACTCATAATCGCTAAATGAATGAGATTACAGATAATAGGAAATCCCAAGCCGTTTTGTCATTGTTGGGTACTTTTCAGCGGCATACACCCTTGACTTTATCACCAAGGGTCGAACCAAAGATCTTCAGGTAAAGAGGTGAGCTGATTGGCCATTTAGCCATTCAGATAGGGTTCAGTAGGTCATGATCTCGAACTTCCACCACCGAACTTCACACCGAAATTGGTGAACCACAGTGGTCACGATTTCCCACTGGAACTTCAGGCAAATTCACTCTGTTTTCAGTCACTGATGAACACTAGTAGGAAGTCGTGAAAAGTGGGGTAAACCAAGTTGGGATTGAGGACAGATATTGACTGATAACATTGGCTGGCGGTTGCACGATATTGCAAATAGGCAGAAGTTAGATATCATAGGTCATTGGATCCCATCTCAGTAGTCCGATGGTTTACAAGTTCATTTTGTAACTTGAAGGTCCTAGTTTCCATCTTTGGCGATAAGATCGTGGGTTCGCACTACTGAAGAGTATCAGACTTGGGTAAAACAGCTATCCAGAACTACCTGGTTTTCAATATTCGTTAAATGAAGTCAATTTGTGATCAAAATTGAAGTCAATCAACTCCCCGGAAACCAATTCTTGAAAATAAAATTTCAGCTATTTTAAGTGGTCATCGGATGATAGCCGAAATTTATCAGTTGAGTAAGGTCTGAATACCTTGATGATAGTCTCTAACTATGATACAGAGTAATGCAAATCTAACTCTTTAGTAAAGAAAAATCTCACTAAGTTACTCTTAGCGCTTTTTAATGAGTATTGTGAGTTAAATTGTGCAATGCGACTATATTAGTCCTCATTTATTATCTACTTCAGGATGTTACATCATTCGAAGAGTAATGAAAAATTCCTGTTTAATAGTTAGTGAAGGAATTTCCCTGTGAGTGATGGAAACATGAAAGCTTGAATTAGACTCTCAGTTTTTCTGAAAAGTTAAACCATAGCAAGAAAACTAAAATATTCATTTTACCTAAAGTTAAACTATAGCAGCCACCACCAATAACTCGACTGAAAAACCTTCAAAATGGCCCTTAAGCAACCTGTCATATCATCCATTATGAATACCATGTGTATTTTGTATCATTTGTTTGCATTCCAGCTGAAACACAGGCCTTAATGCTTCAGGTTTTATAGTTTCAAAAGCGTTTGCGTTGTTTTACAGGGTGGATTTGCTAGCCTCACGTTCAATTTTTCCTCTTTGTCGAGCTTCCTACCGGTTAGGTAGGTTTAGAAGTGTTTCGACCGGGAACTGAGCCCGTTCCACGTATCAGTATTCGATCACTATGCTATCAATGCACCGCCATCGACTTGACTTCTTTTTTTACTGTCGCAGTGTATAATATTTAGAAGTGATGCGTTTCTGTGCACTAATTTATTTGCTTCGTCTTGTTCACCTACACATGCTAACAGCAGTGAAATTCGTAAAACAGTTGAATCAGTATTACAAGAAGGTGGGATAAATTTTCATCAAAAAATGACTGGTAAATACATTACCACTGAATTTACTTACCTTGGAATTTTCAAGATTCCATAGAACACAAACACTTCAATAAGACCACTTAATCCAAACAATGAAAACATGCTTGAATGTTGAATATTACCGATATGAACAAATACCCAATCACTATTGAATCCAGTAATTACTTCACCTGTTATCCCACCAATACAACAAATAAACTTTGCAAGTGAATCAAGTGGTATCGACTTTTTACAACAATCACGACGATCATTAGACTTTTGCCTGTTAAGTGGGTATGATATCCTGTTAGTGAATTCTGGCACAAATTCATTGCATTTATTTAATTCATACAGCTTTCTTCTATAGTATGTTTCTAAAATATGCCAAATTGACCATAGTCCATAGACGATAAAGAAACTGCCAGGCAATGCATGTCCACCAAATGTTCCCATTTTCTTTCTTTGTGCTCTGTTATCAGTGTATATATTGTGTATATTTATTTTCGTCCTTTAAAAAAAATTTTTTTCTCAACTCATATCTACAGGTCATTTAAATTGAGTTAGGGTGTAGTCAGTTAGTTGTGAGGCGGAACAATAATATCAATAAAATGCAACCAATCAGACGCTAGCAACTGTTTACTTGATCAAATGAATTCAGATATCATTGGATGATATGTTTATTGATAATATGACTACCTATTGGTTTAAATGAACAATTGATTAATATAGACGACACAACATGGCTATAGATAAATACAAGTAGTTAGTATTAGGCGGATTAGTCTAACCGTTACATAAGGTAGATATCATATGCTTGAATGTAAGGATCATGTTCATAGAATATAATAATAATAAAATTAATTTATGTCCTCATTTAAGGCACTTACCTTAGACAGCCACTGTAGAACGACTTAGTCTTAAGTAAAGCTTGCAGCGAGAAAAGTAAACTAATTTACGAGTGTTGGTTTGCAGGGATTTGTTCAATTTCAAGATTGATCATGATTCCTGATGAGATCTTGGGTGCGTACTGCCAACGAATCCCAAACAATGAGGAAGCAGCTGTCCAGTACACCTCAGTGTTTCTCTCACTGAAGTTATTTCGTGATCAATCTTGAAATCGAACAAATTCCTGCAGACCAACAGTTGAAAGTTGTTTGTAGTGATAACGAGTGACTGACTACAGGATGAAGTTGCCTAACACTCTGGCGGGAAGCCGAGACCAGCGCTAGAATAAATACTGGCCGATGACAGGCTGGCGGTCGTGCTATATATCGCGAATTGACTGAGGTTACAATTTATGAGCCACTGGATTCCGTCCCAGTAGCCCAATGGTATACGACCTCGTCTTGTAACTTAAACGCCCCGTGGTAGGGTCATGGATGTGACCACTAAAGAGTTTTGAACTAGAACGAAACAACTGTCCACTGCACTCCAGTTTTCACTGATTCATCGAATGCTGCTGGTTCCTCAAGAAATATTCATTGGAATCAGACTTTATTTGTAAACAAGAATCGGGCAATATCTTATAGATTTCACCGCATTATACATAACAATTTATTAATATTACAAAGAAGCCATTAACGTGTAACATGTGTTTTTTATGCTATCAATAGGTAGAAATTCAGCTATACATTGAGATGTTTATACTGAAAACGAACAAGAATATTGATGAAATTGACTTCGTTTCAAGTAATTTGCTCAATTCAACATCTTGTTAGTTAATACGAACGCTATTAATTACATACGTATCACAAACTGTGTTTGTGAGCTTCAGTAACGTGAACATGATAAACCCAGTATGTTTCAAAGTAAAGACAAAGTTTTGTGATTACGCTGGAACATTTCTAAACTGTGTTAGAAATATGGAAATAGTAGGTTCTATTCAAATGACACAGAGAGACAAAACAGTATGTTTAGAGTCTAATTCCGATAAGATGACGGTCATATTTTGTTCAGTCATGGAAATTATGACGTATTTTGTGGACAGCATATATATATATATATATTTCAAACAGCCATTTCCCTTTATTAGTTTGAATAAACAAAGAATGAACACATTTACAGGATAATACGAGCTCATTTTATTTTTTGGATTCTCTTCAACTGCGTACACCCTAAGTAAATCAATTATAAGTTACAAAAATTCTTTTTACAATGACTTCAAGTTATAGATAGAAATTAAAGGTAACATAATTTTAAAGATGATGTTAGTAGACAACTATTTAGTTTTTTTAAAGTAACTATTTATATAGTAATTAGACAAGAGGATGGTGTTCAGACTTTACTTGGAAACAAGGATCGACTAGAGACAAAATAAAAGATAGAATAATAGTGAATTTACACATATTATGGTGGAGACTTCAGGGAATGGAAGTGAACGGTGAAGTAAAATTATAAGGTAGGCAAAGTAATCTGTAGATTTGGAAACTTCATCGTGAGTTCAACTCTGTAAGTGAAAATCAAAATCAAAATTCAGTGAAACGTTATGTAACAGGACAAAACAAAAAAGTACATGAACAAAACAATTACAGTTACCAGGGTAGTGAGAGATCAGTCACACTATATTTCTGTATGCATAGGTCGGGTCAAAGTCTTTTGATGACAGTGGCTTCTGAGAACCTAAGTAACCATGCTGTTCTTTGTATATTGATTATTTTGAAAGCCTGATTAATTTCCAATATTTGTCCCATGTCATAGTTCTCACACGGGTTCTTCCTGGGGCTCCCATGGTTTTCAGTACGTGTCGATGACAAGTCATGCCACTTGGGCATTCTTCGGGTCTTCTCTATGCCGATCTTGCACACATCTGGAGGGCAAAGTAAAACTTGGGATAGCTGGGAAGTTCACACTCAGCTGCGGTCAAATTATGGGTGAGCCCATCATTTTTTATGTTACTGCAACCAACGAAGAATCGTGCACCAGACTACCGCAACGTGTGTGTCCCTCCGTTCTAGCCGGCCAACCAAATAAATGATCTTGAGTGGCTTTGCAGAAATATTCCTGACACTACACTGTTCTTCTGACTTGATCTGAGGATGGAACACACATCGATTCCATAAGAGTATTATGGTGATATATAGGTCAGGAAGTGACATGGTATAGGATCATTTCAATTGTTTTATGCACAGAAGGTGGTTTGAACTAACCCTAAGAATCCCAGTGACAAGTGAGGTGATACTTCTAGTAGATCTAAGATGACACTTTTCTGTATAATTGTTTTGTCTAGGAAAAGCCGTCTTCTGTCAACTCTTCCGTCCAAATAATGTCTTGGTTGTCTCAGGTCACTCGGTTGGTCGTTTGCTTGACTATCTATACTTTAGTTTAGTCAAGAACAGTTTTGGCATTACACAGGAGACGGTAGACTTTTGTTTAAACTCACTGGTGAAAAGGATATTGGATTCTGAATGTGAGATGAGCAGCATCTTGTAACACTGACGCTACTTTTTTACATGCAGGTGTGGAGTCTGGAGCGTATTCCACTACCGAACTTTTCGACATATGTTGTCTATACAACAGTGTCACTGTTGGGATCAGTTTTGCGTGTGTGCTATCAAATAACCAAGAATGCAGATTCCAGTGCCTTTATTAATTCTACTACACCTAATTCTTCCACTAATGCTCTTAACAGCTGTCTTGAGGACAGCTGGTGCTTTTGGAGTGTCATAAACTTCGGGTACTGCTTATTGATATGCGTTGCAAGAGAGCTGCAAAATATGTTCTTCGGCCAACTCAGAAGTGCAGAAGATTCTCACATCAGAGAGAACTTCTCTAGTTTTATTTTCTATAAAGTGGTTTTTATTTATGGTATACTGCATGTAGAAGCGCTTCACGAACTTTTACTTTGGGCCACTTGGTTTTCCATTCTTGGTTTTTTACGTCTTCTCACTGGTCTAATCAGGGATCGTTCGCAATATATTCTCCGCTGTTCCGACTCTTCCTTCACATATCAGGCTAGAATCTTCCTGCTATGTTGTTTACTTTTACTTCTCAGTAATTTTTTAATGGTTGTGTCTATTATTGTGGGTGCGAAGCATTCACTTCACACGATGTTCTTCATGCTTGCCGAAGTATTTCAGTTAATGATAGTCACAGTACATGTAATCACATGGTATGTGGTTTACGTATACTGTGAACTTGCTTCTCGACCAAGTAATGGAGATAAGTTATACCACCGATTTGTTATTCTGTACTTCACGGAGCTACTCTACGATTCAGTCGCTGACTTCGGTGATTTGTTACACAATCTGCACATGTTATTTTGGAATAAACTTCAAATTAATATGTCCAGTATAATAATCGCTCTACACCTTCAGCATTTGTATTATAAAATGTCAAAACGAATTGTGCATCACAGGCGCTATAGGACTGTATTACGAGTTTTGGACTCAAGGATTATTCATTTGGAAGTGAGTGAACTGAACTCCTGTTCAGTTGAGATCGTTTTTATTTTTATTTTTCACACTCGAGTTATTTGCTTAATTATCGGACTTCGATTAGTTTTGATTTGCATGGTAACAGATATATGTATATATATATATATATATTCTTTTTTCACCTAGAATACTATTTTGGTGTATTTTGTTACATTCGATTTTTGCATAAAATTCTCATTTTACACGGTTCTACGTGAAGTTTTATCACAGTTTCCTTTGAAAGCCGAGACCATTCAGTTCACAATATGTGACCTACTTGGTATTATAAATGAGTTCAGTAATCAAACAAGATTCATAAAACAAGATATTACTGATTCAATGATATGATTAGCTCTAAAACATTCACGTCATCCAGGAGTGCTTGCTAGTCTTATCGAAGTGATCGAGACACCAGACAGCCGTTTCGGTTCTGATTGTAAATATTATTCATAGTATTACCAATTAGTGATATAAGTATAAAACTTGGGCACTGTGGTAAAGCATAACTCCATTATGGATAAGATTTTATTTTGATAAGTCACACAGTGTTGTACAGTATTATTAACTGATGACGTTTCGAGCACAAACTATTGCTCATAATCAAATCAAGCTACTCACACAACATTTTTTCCTTCATTTATATACATGTGTGGAATCGATTAGATATTGGAATAAAATTCAATATGAGATAATGTACATTCAGAAATAATAATAATAATACGAGCGTTATTGATCAGTTACAATTAGATGGGAAATAAAACGAGTGTTTCTATAGTCATAATAATTTACTTGTTAGAATGTTGTGATGTGTTTGAATTGAAATAGAATTTTAAGATTATTTATTATCCCTCCTCCTCACTCAGGTAGGGACAATCTCTGTAGGCTAAAAGACCCGGTGGACCCAATTCGACAAAATAATACAATTTACAAAATACCTTGCAATGACTGTGAGTGAAGTCAACTACTTAGGTCAGACTAGTGGGTTGGGGGTAGACAGATTATCAGAACATAAGAATTTAGCTGAGGGAAGAATGGTTGACCCCGAGAAGAAAAGTAATATAGAAAAGAGCTCAGCAATTGCACTTCACGCATTAACAAACAACCACACAATAGGGTGGGATAGGGTTAAAATTCTAAAAAGTAATCTAGGTAGGTGGAGAGATAGGTTGATTACTGAATCCTTGTTCACTGAGTCTACACCCAACACATGCAACAGAAATGACTCAATGCAAATACCAGAAATATGGAAGATATTATTGCCACCAGTCAAATCAGGGGAGGATAATAAATAATCTTAAAATTCTATTTCAATTCAAACACATCACAACATTCTAACAAGTAAATTATTATGACTATAGAAACACTCGTTTTATTTCCCATCTAATTGTAATTGATCAATAACGCTCGTATTATTATTATTATTTCTGAATGTACATTATCTCATATTGAATTTTATTCCAATATCTAATCGATTCCACACATGTATATAAATGAAGGAAAAAAGTTGTGTGAGTAGCTTGATTTGATTATGAGCAATAGTTTGTGCTCGAAACGTCATCAGTTAATAATACTGTACAACACTGTGTGACTTATCAAAATAAAATTTTATCTCTAATGGAGTGTTACCAATTTGCCCAAGTAGATAGCCAGAAATCTGTTGATTTTAGCTGACTCTTCCCTCTGAGTTGAGTCAACTCTGTCACAGCACTGATTGTCCCTACCCTAGGCTAGTCGGATTGCCGTCCGATGGTCAGGCGATTTCAGTCTAGCTAGCAGGCACTACAGGTTGATGTGAGTTGTACACAACTCCTCATGTCAATCACCCAGGAATAAATAGTGTTATGCATTTTTTATTTGTGCCTTGACGGTTGTCAAAGAAAACGAGAAAGCTTATCTTTTTATTTATTTGTTGAAAATCAAAGTTTGTGTTTATTGATGTTGGAAAATCACTTTTAATATAATCCATTACCGACTGTCAAATCTTGTCGAACTCCAAATATTCGGGATCTGTTATCCAGTTTTCAACATCTCTATCACTAATTGCCGAATTCTATACTATTGAGTATTAAATAGGCTGAGAAATTCATTAAGCTCTTTTTATTATTTTGAATTAATCAATACTGCCTGAAAATTGGAATCACATGATTTAAACAAGGAAATTTCCCAGCTTATTCTCACTTATTATTTCTGTAGTTCACTTTGTTATTACATTATGAACTATGATGACTTAACAACAAATGAGATTGATTTAATCAAGAAAGCATTTTATCAGTTCGATTACCGTAAAACTGGTTTCATATCTCATGAAGAATATGCTGACGCACTACGTTGGTTGAAATTAATACCTTCTGAGGAAGAAATAGCAAAAATCTTACAGGAAATCGATCCAGAAAATCTAGGACGTATTAAAATTGACGCATTTGTGTGCGGTGCACTGAAATTCTGGTTCCCATCACCGCAAAATCTAGAGGCACATTTATGGGATGCATTTTCAGTATTCGATAAAGACCTGAAAGGTAGTATATCAAGTGATTTATTAAGGGAAATTTTAACTATGAATGATACAGAACCGATACCAGAGAAGGAAGTGAACAAGATTATCAAATACTATGAAAATAAGTCTGATAAGACAATTACATACGGATCGATAATCAATGACTGGATGAAGTGATATCTGAAAATTAAGGCGGATAATTAAAGGCTGAAATGACAATAAAGGAGTGAAAGAAGACCTTCCAAGGAGTCAGTCTCCCAAGAGTATCGTTTTATCTAATGATTTAGTTCCTTTGAAAAAAAACAGTATGTTTCAATTCTGGACAGTCAATAAAGACTGTAAAAAAGTTGTTGATCCAAAGTTTTTTGTGAGCAGTAATAAACTGTGTGACTGCTGATTAACAGCATCACTTCTTTTTGCTCCTTCTGTGACTCATGTGAAGGGTTGTAATTTTGATTCTGTTTCTGTAGTCACCGATACTCTCATAAGATTATTGTGTTTTAATAAAAACTTCATTTGTAACCATATATAGTTATCAAGAGGAAACGACATTAGTGACTTGAATTGAATCAGAGGGCGGTCTTCAACTCGGTGAAGGGTTCATCTGAAGCTTAAAAGTGACTTCTGAACTGAATTTTTGTTGTGTAGGATGGATAGACTATAGGATGTCACAATGCATTTAATAAAATAGGACAAAATAATGTATGACTGGTGAAATTTCACCTGAAAATTTCCGATAGCTTTACTTAGTTAACCTTACCGTAAATAAACTATTAGAAAGAATATAATGTATTATTTTAGCCTTAACAGGCTTTCTGAGAAAATGTCACAGAAGTGAATAGACATAATCCTAAGGGAAGTTTATGTTGACTTCTACAGATAATAACAAATGAGACTAAATTGTCTAACTAGGCGAGCCTGCCCACCATTTACCTAGAGGGAGGAAGTCAAAGGGTTCTGGAGAGCTGCTTCTTCCTTGTTCGGGGGTCGAACCCCGGACGTTCAAGTCACGAAGCGAGTTGGCTGACAATTCAGCCAGTGGGACCAGTCACCAAACTGTCTGAATCAATTACATGTTGGAGAAATAATGCTGGGATTAATCTGCTGTAACCATTTGATAAGTAATACTTAAATTCCATGGATGGTGAACTTTGACCGGTAACAAACATTCTTATCTTCATTCAAGCAGATGTTCTGGTGTGAACACAGTGAAGCTGTCAACTATAACAACTTACCTTGCGTACAGAATTATGCTGAATAACTACAATGTTAATCTACTGACAGACTCACTGCACAAAGTATTTTATGAATAAATCTCTTCAAATGGTTTTTTCTGAATGTTTGTGGCAATGTGTCACCCTTGAAATGAAAATATAGGAACAGTTTTTTTCAGAAAACTTCGCGTCGTAGTCACAGAAACTCAGCTGATACGGACATGCATAAAAAATATGGATTTGAAGACATTATGTTCGTCTCTTATGCATTTTCTGATATTACTAATAACTATAAGGAATTCTGCAAAAATTTATATTAATTTCAGTTTCTTGTATTTACACAATCTTGTCTGTGTTCAGTTGTCTCTGATCATCGATAGATTATCTAGATATGAGAGATCTGTAAGTATGTTTCATAGTTTCAGTATTAGTAGTGCTTCAAATTTTTCAAGGTCGAAATCGCATGACGAATATTTGTATGGAATAATACAAAGTGTCTGTTAATAACCGGGGTCAGATATTTCAAGCAAGGGTAAAGTTTCAATGTTCCGATGGAGTGCTCAGGCACTTCTCAAGTATTAACCAACAGCTTGTATTCCTAAGATTATGTATAACTAGGAAACCAACACCATACTAAATATTTTGCAGTTGCTTATCTTACAGTATCCATTCAAGTTCACAAGACGGCTTTCATGGTTTGCCAAAGCTGTATATTAAATTGTAGAGTCAACTAAGGAACTCTGTAGTAGCACAGTCTTCAGAGTTTCTGAGCAGTTTTCTTGTTACTAGGCTCTTACCAGCCAAAGAGAGGTGTTAACTGAAGCACAGACAAAATTCAAAGATTGGTTGACTTTTAATTTCAGGAATTAATATGAAGAGCCAGCAAGATAAGCGAACAGCTTTTATATAAAGATGCAGAGTAATTGCACAGTTTCTCAATCACCATGAATAAAAGTTTCAGTACGTCTCTCAAGTCACTTGTTCTTGCATTATGTAAGAGGGTGGTATTCTACTTTCGAAATAATAGGATATAGTCACCAGTTAATCAGATCACTATCCAAGGAGAGATCAACACAGAGGTAACCAATGAAAGATAGTACAAGGAACCTAGCTGCCAAAGACGAGAAGCAGAGAAAACAGTGGGCTGATCACTTCAAATGACTCTTGAAGCGACAACCAGAAAAACCATCAAAAGTCACACAACTGCCAGTGGATACCAATCCTTCAACAAAAGCAGAAGTTTTGAATGCAATCAAGCTGCCAAAAGCTTGCCGGGAAGTATGCAGGACCTGAATGAATCCATCCAGAAGCAATGAACATGGATCCACAGACTTCATCAGATATCCTGGTGGCACCATTAAAAATATTTGGAAGGAAGGAAAGATACCTACTGATTGGAAGAAAGCCTACTATGTCAAACTACCAAAGGAGGGCAGATTAATCCTTTGAAAAAACTGGAGAGGATAGTGCTCCTCTCCACTCCAAGCAAAATTTTAACTCTCGTTATCCCGGAGAGACCAAACTATGCACTGGCTACAAAACTCCGCTTAAAACAAGCTGGATTCAGGAATAATGAATCATGAGTGGATTAAATCGCAATAGTACACATCACCATCAAACAGAGCACGGGGTAGCAGTCAACTTTTTATCTAAACATCATTGATTGTGGAGAAGTCTTTGACAGCGTTAATCGACAATAGATTTGAAAGCCGCTTCAACACTACTTGATGCCTGGAACCTGTAACAACCTCATTCAAAATCTGTATGGTTATGTCACATGCCAGGTGATTCACAACGGAAAGCCCAGCGAAGCATTTGAAGTGAAGACAGGAGTAAACCAGGGATGCCTACTATAGCTGATGATATTCCTAACTGTGGTGAACCGAATTACGCGACAGACTGTGGGAGCGAGAAGACAGGAATACGTTGGACCTGTAAGAAGGCTCCAGGAGATCTGGACTGTGTGTAATCTTACACAAACTTGAAGATATTTAGGCGGAAATCGACAAGTCGGAAGAAGAGTCAGTGAAAACAAAACTTCAGGCGAACATAGAAAAGTCTGCGGTGGTAAAAACTCCTGACCAACTCCAACAAGCATCGAACATTATCTAAGGCAGAAATTTGAAGGAAATCAGTTTTTTACTTATGTAGGCAGCATTTTTACGACCAAAGGCGGCATGGATGAAGATATCAAAGCCAGAATCGGTAAGGCAAAATAGACCCTCATCACTATGAAATCATTTTGGAAATCTTCTTCACTGAGCATAAAGAACAGAATCCTGATTTTCAGCACCAGTGTTAAGTCAGTCAGTTCTTTTACATGGGTCAGATACTTAGAGGTCATGTCACGAAAGTCATTTCCAACAGCCAGATGCAGACTTTCGACACCAGCTCCCTTCACTACAAACGAACGTCTGGAGAAATTGATTCTTTGCAGCTAGTAAACCTGGGCAGTGGAGGAACCTATGAGCAGAGGGACGAAATAGAAATGATTATACACAGTATAATGTGTGTTCTTCCTGTCCGATTAGACTAGAAGTGGTATGAGCAATCGAGAAAGGTTCAGCGTATTCTAGACAGTGAGTAAATGACTGAGAATGCGTATATCTATTAGATACCAGAACCAATGTTAGAGCGTCAGGCAGTGTACAATGACAGTTCAAACAGCAGCTGGATATGTGTTAAAAGCGACAGGAATGTCAGACTGAATCTTTCGCACTGGAGGTCGTAACGTAACCCTCGCATTATTTGTTGAGCCTCACTTATAGCGAACAATCCTTGAGGTTGATTTTCCGTTAGAAATCTGACTGATGATTAACAGGAGGGAAAGGACTGTGATTACAAAGTACTGATCAACCAGCATGCATTAGAATGTTGAGATGGTAGTGGTAGAGGTGTCGAAAGTACCGAATATAACAGTGCTAGTTTGAAAATACAGGTGTCCATTCACTAAAGATGCAGACCCTTATAGGTATAATGATAAGGCGCAGCATGAAATCCCAGTAACGGGTAGAAAATGACAACATTTATGACTTGAAGAGTTTCATATTGCTAGCAGTAGAAGCTGACCGACAAGTTCAGATGTTAAAGGATGATATTAATGAAGAAGCTAACAGCCCACATTGCTTTCGCTTGCTCTTAGCGAGGAAAGCCAACACGAAGTACAAATTTTGTGATGATTTTCAAGAAGTAAACAGCGCAACAGAAGTGAGACTTTGTGAGGTGTCAAATGTAGCAGAAACCCTGGATAACCTGGAAACTGTAAATCTGTTTACAGTTCTAGGATATTTCCAAATATCAATAAAACAAGGCGACATCATTGTTGGGCAGAAACAATATCAGTTTAAAAGCATGTCATTTGGATTGGTGCGTGCATTACCTGCTTACAGACGACTAGTGACGTTACTACCTAAAAATTTAAAGAACTTAAAAGTGTACGCCGATGATCTAGTCATACATAGACGGAAAGTGACAACATGGAACATGTAGAAGCGGCTAAACTCATTTAAAATTTTGGACTACGCATTAACAAGTTAAAATCTCAGAGAACTGAAAGGAATGCTCTGCTGTTGGAACATTAAGTAGGAAATCATGGGATAAAACCTCGGCCTGATAAATTCTTGACAGTAAAGACCACTGCAAACCTAGCCTAGATTTCTAGGTCACTAGTTTTCTAGCCGGTCCCAAGCCCGGATAAAGAGGGAGGGTTGGGGCCTGGTGCTGGCAACTCCACCTCCAAAACTTAACCAAATTGCTACAGAAACTTCAACGCACAAATATATTAAAAATTCTAAGAATACAAACAATAACGTTATTTTTCGCTGGAATCGGGGATGTGAAATGACGCAGGCTGGTGAAAGCCTTCTAGAAGCCAGTCAGACAATGTGCCTCCTTTCGATGAAAGCAAAAATAAGGATGGGGACGTGGAGTGTTCGTACAATGTTCGAAGCTGAAAAGGCTGCT